AATGACGAGCCGTCTGCGCAGGAAAAATGTCGCAGGCAATAAGGTCACTCTCCTTGTCCCCGCACGCTTCCAGAGAGTCTTTTCGGGGGCTCCGGCACTCGTAGGACGCGCTCCGTAGATCGCGGTGATTGGAGCCCCGCGTGCTTCGCGGGAAAGTGCAGACGCCAGGGCCATTTCTTCGAGCGCCGTCCACGGGCCACGCAGGTGCAAGACGCCGATGAGAGGATAGCGTGCGGGGTTCGCGCCCGAGTACCACGGGGCGGCGGCCGAGAGGTGTCTTCTCCATACCAGCTAGACGACGAGGCCTTGCCCCGCTCAGACGTCATCACCAGTGGATCCTCGCAGCACCAGCCACCTTGCGTCAGCATCACAGACAGCGCGTCTTGCAGCGTCTCGCAAGGATCGTGACGCTAGCACGTGGCGACGCCAAGACGGACGCGTTTGCCGTTTTGCGGCGGAGCCTCGTCCAGCTGCAGCGTGTTTGTCGCTCGGGGCAGGTCGGGGATCCACCGGCGATGACGTCATGCGCAGGCCTAGTGTTCCAGGTGGTATCGGTCCTCTCCGGTCGGATGCACGACACGTCGGGGAAGATGTTGCGGCCGTGGTAGTAGCGCGGTCCCGGCGTCCCCAAGCGCGTTCCCGCGTCGGCGGCGGGGACGGCCGCTGATTACAGGGCGCACCTGCGGGCGGCTCCCGCCTTGCCGTGAGCGGCTTTTGATTAGCCGGTGGCCGGGGCGGGCCATTAGGCCCGGAGACCAGCGGCCGCCTGGTTGAGTCGTAGACAACGCACTGTGTCGGCGCTGACAGGGCGGTTTCTTTGATCTCCGCTGCTCAGCCGCTGCTCTCCGCCCCCCTTCCTTCTCGCTCACCCCTCCTTCCTCCTCCACTTTCAGCTTTTTTTGTGTGTGTGTTCTGTTTTTTTTAAATTTCGTTTCCGGCGGGCGACTCACGGATTAAAAGAGCGAGTATGCGTGGATCATTGCTTGGATCCGGGCGGTCGCCGATCGGGATCGTGCCCCGTTCAGTGCCACTCGTGCGAGTTCTTGTTCGTCCAATGAAATGGTTGTTTGGGCTACTGGATGGGAACGTGACCTTGAGCGTAGAACCTGCGCATCCCCCCCCCCCCCTTTTTTTTTTCTTTCTTGGTTTATATCTAGCGATGCAGCAACGAGCGGCATGATACCTCTACAGCGGCAGATGCGTTCGGTCAACGCTCGGTCCCGAAGAATGCCCTTTGAACTTGCCCCAGGGTGCAGAGACTGTCGCCGTCGGCCTGGTAATCGGGATGGGGTGCACCTGAACCGAGTCCTCTCCACCAGACGTTGGTACAGTCAGACTGACTTGGGGGACCAATAAACAAGAAGCAGGAACCTGTGTTCAGTTTATCGACATTCGAGCTTGCCTGCTAAAAATACTCTTTGCACAACTCAAGACAAGCACCAAGCCAAAGTGAAATATCAAAAAAAAGGGGGCCGGGAAAAGGAGGGGGGGGGGGGGGAGAGGCGGACTGTTCCCCCCTCCCCCCCCCACCCCCCTGCCCTCGTATCAAAAACAACTTCTTGGTGAAAAAAAAAGAAGGAAAACGGTATACAGCCAGGTTTTTAGAAAGATATATGTTTAGTGGTTGAAATGGCAGCTGTTAGGTGACCAAAATGAATCTAACAACGCTTTGCTCGTGACGTCACATACGTCCGTGACGTCAGACCTCTCTTGAAGCCCTGACCTCCCCACACCCGCAACCTGACCCATAAATAATATAATAACCTTATTTCTATCCAGTTAGATGGAGGGGGGGGGGGGAGGAAAAAAGCTGCATTGCACAGCTTGACTAGCCCTCACGCCAATGGTCAGGTGCGTGCGGACGTGCACAAAATACATAAAAAAATATCAACACATACATAAAAAGGGAAAAGAAAGAAACGCCTTAATGAACTGTTGCAACTCACTCTACAAAGAGTAACACAAATTGAAAATGACCAAAATCACTATGCCACATTCGTACCACACACTTTGTCACGCACGATCATTATGTCAAACAAAAAAGAACGAAACTACATCAGGCACAAAAATGTGAACGCAAATTTTCGGAAGTTACACTGTCAAAGTTAATATTATTTACACAAAAATGATTTAACGGACGTGGAAGTGATCATCCTCCATTTCTCCATGTGACGAACGAAATAAGACGGCAAATGTCTTCTCAACAATGCTAAGTATTCTAAAAAGCATGCACCCCTGATCTTTTTCTTCTTCTTAAAACTGGTGCACAGGATATAGTCATAAAATTTGTAAGCACTAATGACATCGAGGGTTTTAAATAGTTCAGTGTGGGAATCATAAGTCATATCAAAAATAGCCCTGAAGATTTTTTTTTTTTTTGTAAAAGGAATAGTTTTTTTAGTGTTCTTTAATGTTGACGTACCCCAAACAAAGTGGCAATACGTTAATTGCGACAAAAATAAAGCATCATAAATCAACAATTGAACATTCGGCGGCAAAACAGAACGGCATCGATTTATAAGCCCTACCACACGAGCTAGTTTCGGAATGAGATTGTTTATATGATTATCCCACAACATGTTCTCACGAAAAAAAAAAAAGAAAAAAAAAAAAAAGAGAAGACGCTCCAAGAGTTTTAGAAGAACTAACTATTTCAATCGGAGACGAATATATATACTTAACGTTTTAGATCATACAATTAGCTTTTTTTTTTACGAAAAATTTATAGCTTTGGTTTTACTGTAGTCGCTTTTTAATGAGTTACTAGCGCTCCCTGATTTTATTATGTTTAATGTCTGGTTGGCCATATCAATGACTTCATCACAGTTTTCAGAAGAAAAAAATACGGTCGCATCGTCAGCGTAAATGACGAATTTAGCGTCGACGTTAACGTTTACAATATCATTTATTTACGAGTTAAAAAGATATGGTATTAATATACTACCTTGTGCAACACCTGAGGTGATCGGTTTCGTAGTAGAGGAATAACCATTAATGTGTACACCCGCCGGCAATATGAAGTTGAACACCTTACCTGGTTTCTTGCCTGTTTTACGGCTCCCGAAAGCTATATTAGGGAGTTTTCGTAGATCGTTTTCGCCGTCCCGCAAGGCCCTCCGCAACCCGCTACGATAGCGGGAACTCCACAGTCAAGGCTATCGGCGCGCAGGCGCAGTAGCAACTTCTTCGTTGCGGAACGCTTAGCGGAAAGGGCAGCGCGGTCTACGAAAACTCCCTATTAACTCTCAACGTCTCAAATGGTACGTGGCTTGGGGTCGAAACTTTGCGTTCTAGCCCTCTTCTGGAACAGAGCTTGTTCCAAAACTTGCAGGAGCGTTAAGAACAAGAAGAGGGCTGTTCACCTTCATATCGCTCACAGGTGTACATATTGTTGGCGGTAACGTAGGTAGGTCTGTAGAAGTATCAGTGCCTGACCACGAATGCCATAAATTTCGAGCTTCTAGAAAGAATATCATGACTAATGCAGTCAAAGGCCTTGACGAAATCTGAAAGCCCAACTAAAGCAATTCGCTTATCGTCGGAACATTTTAAAATAAGCTCCTTTTGAGTAAGTAAGGCTGTGTTTCAGCAGAACAGCTCTTCCTAAAACCAAATTGCGACGGAGAAATGAGCTCGTATTTATTTGAAAAGTCGACCAAACGGCGGTAAAGAAGCTTTTCTAAAACTTTTGAAAAAACGGGTAGTAGAGAAATTGGCCGCCCATCGTTCCGACAACCCGCGATAACGATCATGGGCAAAGGGCGGAACGATCTGCTATAAGTTATAATTCTTTAACAGGTCTGCATGTTCCCGTCTGTACCTCTTGTCAATGTACACAAAAACAAAAAAAGCCGCACAAGGTACTTTTGCGAAGTAATTAAGTAACGCCTGTAGTTACTTGCCGAAGTGACATTGAATTATTAATACAGTTAACGTTTCATAAATATATTGTCGCAGGTTTGCACAAACACTAGCTGGTCACATTATAATTACCGTTAAAATATTTCATCCTCGAGGTGCGCTACGTTGGCTGATCAATATTTCAGCTTCACACGCAGAATGTACTTAAAAATGTGGTTCATCGAGAAATAAGGACGTTTAGATATGTTCGAATAAGAGCAGAGACTTTCATAACACAGACATTTCGGAAATCGTCTTTCCTTCTTCAAGTGTGTGCAAACAAAAGATCCTTTAAATTTACCACTCTGTGCACACGATTGGGAGCGGGACGACAGCTAGCTGTCCACAGAGGGAATTTTTGGATTGGTCCACATGAGTTTGGTAACTAGTTACAACTTACTCTGAAAATGTGATTTAAGTCATAGTTACAGTTACTCTAAAGAAATTATATTTCAACTAACAAACTATTTAGATGCTGAAATTGTAACGAGTTACAGGAAGTTAGGTAACTCTAAATATTTACTTCACGGCACTGCTAAAAAAAGAAAAAATCTGCCAGACCGGCATTTTGACAATTTTGATTCGTGCACAGATATACTCGATGAAAGAAAAAGAAACTCGAACACAAGGTAGACATAAAATATCACTCTACTGGGTGTTCTGCCCGGTTGTTTTTAAGTAATTCAGACGTTACGTGGTTAAAAAAATACGGCAGCATTTTCGTTTTTTTCATTAAGCCGAGGAAATACCGTTAGAAGACTGCTAAAAAAGAATGGTACTTTCCGTTGGGTACTTCACTTGTTACCGTTTTTCTTTTTCTCCTTTGCGAAACATAACCATTCGGTATTGGCCCCAAAGATAACAATCCTGCGGTGCGTAATATCACGAGCCAAATTGACTTCGGACCCCGCACAAGTTGACTCCGAATCAAAAAATGCATTGCAGCATGAAGAAACAGAGAACTACATTGCGTGCAGCGTGATCACTCACGCCATACCGCGGGTAATCCACGATGCCACAAGATGGCTACGCGGCAGTATATACAGTGGCCTAGCGGCAGGTATCGTATCGTCATCTGCTCTTGGACCGTATAATTGTCCGTACCCTCAACACGCCGGAGCGTTTAGGAACTCGTGGCGGTCGCGCAAGCAGAACCGCCCCCGGCACACGTAGCAGCGGGGCAGCGCGGTGTATCGACATCGACTTCCTCGAAGTCGGGAGGAATGTCGGTGAGCGCGGCGTCCCCTTTGCGCTCGAACCTGGGCGAAGGCCCCCACTGGGAGCCCAGCTCGGCCAGCCTGCTGTACGTGGACGCCTTCGAAGGAGACGTGTGCAGACTGGACCTGGCCACGGGGAACACCAGCAGCGTCCACTTCGGTCAGTGGCTCCTTTCCTCACGCGCTGCTCTGCGAGGCTGCTTCACACACCTGACACTGCTTACGCCTAGGGGTGTCGCGAACTTTTGTCGAACCTCAAGGTTCGACTGGTTCACCTAACCTTCGAACTTTCAATAAAGTTCGAAAAAGTTTGACTTATGGGCAGTGTTGCCTGGCTTCTACGCGAATATTTCGAATTTTGGAAAACAAATAATATCTAGAAAGTAGTTTATTTTATATTTTATATAACGGCCACCAATGTTTACACCGTATGAAAGCGAAAATATGCGCTTTTAATGCTTTCGTTAGTTAGTAATGTGACATACTTAAAAGGTTAAAACAGCGCTAAAGAATGACACACCAACTCGTATGTCACACCAACTCGTCCAGGCTTCAACCTTAGTAATGTGAACCAGTGATGCCAGTACACCGAACAAATATTTGCAATTCTCCTCCGCTAAATAAAAGCAACTGTTTTTTTATTGTTTTTAGTTTTCGCGCATGCGCACAAAAGTAGAACTTTAGTCGAACCTTTGTCGAACATCACGTTGAAAGTTCGAAAAGGTCGAACTTCGTTGAACTCGAACCTCGGCAGGTTCGCGACACCCCAACTTACAACCTGTCCTCTCACGACGAGGAGGCACACTACCACCATCTATTAGATCGCCGTGAAACATTTTCGTATATTGCCTGCCCCTTGCTTCATGTTTTCTGTTTGCTCGAAAAACATTTTGACAATGTTATAAACGAACCATTTCTTAGAGATAACATGTACGTTTGATGTCGCAAATACCGCAAAACCTTCATTCTCGTGAAGTGCAATTTGAACATCACACAAGCAGAGGGACAACTGACCGAAGAGTCTCTTCGACCTTTGAGAAACAGATAGTTTCGGGGAACCAATTCGTGAAGTTCTGCGCTAGCACGACTCTGGAGGAGGCACTAGTCATCTGCTTATGCGTGTATTACGTAAGGGCACTCTCCAAACCTGTGGCATATGGACAAGCCCTTGAACTTCTCCAGTTTCTGCTCGCCGAAAATGACGAGTTTCCCATTCAGTTCATGTCGGAAAAGCTGAAAAAATTGCTTATGGCCGTTCAAAAACAAAATAAATTCTGAGCCTCTGCTAATGGCAAGAAATGATTAGTAGTTTGCTATTAATGCTATGAAACAAATATCTACTGTTATCTTTTTTTTTTTTTTTTTTGATAGCCGCTGAAAAAAGACGATTTTCAGCAGGGTAGTATTGTTATTGTTTATGATAGCTACCAAAGACAAATCACTCTGCAGTACGATTTTTTTTTTTTGTGATAGTTCGTAGGAAACGACAATTTTTGGCGTTGTAACGTTTTGTTGTATAGGTGTAAGCTGCAAAAACATCGTTATAAAATTAGTATTTTGAAACAGACTTGTCAAGATCCCTTCTTGTGTTATGGTAAATAAAACACGTGTTTATTTTTAACGCTTTTAACTGTTTGGTTTTTCATATTGATTTCCTATATCAAACATTTTATACAGCTCAATTTGAACTTTAGCAACGCAGCGCAAAATGATGTTGGCTTAACAATATCAGCGGATGTGCCAGCACCGCGTCAGTGCAGTGCAGCATGTCAGCTGACAGTCAAACCACGAACAAGCAGAAATTCTACGATATTTAAAATAGCAGAGATGACGTAAGAGGGACTGTACCCCTGCATTTTAAGCGCGCCACCGTCCCTCCAAGTTTAAGAGGGAAAATATCTAAAAAATGTTTTCTTTCTCAGGGGAACTGGCCTTGACTTTAAGGGAGACGCTGTCTCGTTTGCTTTAAGAGGGGTTGTCTCACTTATTTAAGAGGTAGAATCCCCGTGTAATATTAAGAAATCTGTCGTCCTCCTTAGAGTTAAGAGGGGGAAAAACGAAGAAATGACCCTCTTACTAAGTGGGACCCGGCTTATAGCCGTGCCCCACGGGCAACTCGAACGCCATTTACAACGAATGACATTAGTGTGATTCACGAATCGGCTCGCGATCTGTCGCGCGTGGATCGCCCCATGCTCGGAGTTCCGCGCGCTGATTGGCCGATCGTTCAAATGTCATTCGTTGTAAGTGGCATTCAAGTTGCCCGTGTGGCACGGGTATTAGAGTGTATTGATAGCACGTACGTTTGAACTCAAAAATATCGCGAGACCTTCGTTCTAGTAAAGTGCAATTTGAACATCACACAAGCAGAGGAACAACTGACCGTAAATATAAAAAAACACGATAAGAAACGCATAACACAAATAAAATACGCGTACAGACCTTGAAAACTTGAAGGATTTCAGATGCAAGAATTTCTAATTGCGATGACGAAATTTTGCTTTTCCAATCTACCAGCCATGGGTTGGCCACTGCCCATTCGCAAATTAAGAAGATCGTCGACATTTTATTTCTTTAAGGGAGCCAATACGATGCTCCTACAATATTTACAATTTTTCACATTAAATACATTTCCGGACAATTACGCGTCCTGACGAATTTCGCTCTCAATTTCTTGGCTCGGCAAGTGAACAATGTTCGTATACGTGTTGAACTGTAATGAAATCTTGAGCACGAAATAATAAAACACGAATTTTCGGTCCCTTTTTTTTTTAAATTTGTTGTTACGAGAGAAAAATGGAAGTGTACGTTGCATGTTTACTCAACGAGAAGAGGTCTGAATTTGAACTGTGACGACACTGGTTCACACTGTAGATGCCAAAGTGCGATAGCGATCATTTGTAATTCACTAGACTCACGTATATCAGGGTTGAACTGGGCAAGCTGGTAATAGCGTTACATGATCAATAAAGCTATGTTCAATAAAGCTATGTCCTATCATACGAAGTGTTCCTTTTTTTCGGTCCAGATTTTTTGTCGTTGTTATTCCCATCGTGCTCAACAATTGGAGGCGTGATATTTTCCACTCGGGCTGATGAGCGCTCACCAGACGTGGAAAGTAGTTATTTTTTGAGACAGCCGCTCAAATGAAACCGAGGAGGACTTGTTGCGCAGATGGCACGGTGACGTTCGCCATTCCCTACGCGTCGAACCCGGCCCTGAACGTGATGACGCTGAACCGGGAGCTGCGTCGGTTGGACTGGAGGACCGGGGACTCGGCGGTCCTGTGCCAAGTGGACGACGAGAGGCCCCGCAACCACTTCAACGACGGCAAGTGTGACGTCACGGGACGCCTGTGGGCAGGTCGGTCTTACTCTGAGAATGCTTCAAGTAGACGGGAAATACATATTAACAAATACCCCTGGCGATAGGGCCCAGCAAAGTATGCAACGTAATATCATGCAACTAATATCGGCCGAAAAAATCGGTGCCTACATTTAGTGATCTCAAATTTTCATCAAAAATATACAGGGTGATCCAAGGAGAGGCCAGGCTCTTTAAATCGACCGCAAAATTCGGTTTCTTAACCTTTCGCGCTACGACTTCGTGCAGCGTTGCCCACAGATGGTGTATTTTCTTTCATTTTTTTTTTTTTTTTGTAAAATTTGCAAAGAGCGAACTTATTTGAGGAAAAAGTAAAGAAAGAAAAAGGCTTAGTTCCTATGGAAACGCAGCGAAGACACCGGTCTTCAAACAACACGGCGCCGTTTCGCTCGGGAGACAAGAGATGGCGCGCAACCGGTCGCAACGTCAACAGCCGCCAACGAACGAGCATACGACGCCGAGAGCCGGCGTCTTTAGCAAACAAGCAACTGCAGTTCCTTGTTGTTACCGCGCCTGTTTTTGTTTCTGCAACTGTCGCCGCCTGCGGAACGCGCGCCGCTTTTGAGTCGAAAATATCGTCTGCTAAAGACGCCGGCTCTCGGCGCCGTATGATCGTTAGTTGGCGGCGTTCGTTGCGCCATCTCTTGTCTCCCGCGCGAAACGGTGCCATGTTGTTTGATGACCGATGGCTTCGCTGCGTTCCCATAGGAGCTAAGCCTTTTTCTTTCTTTACTTTTTCGTCAGGTAAACTCGGTCTTTGCAAATTTTACAAAAAAAAAAAAAAATGCACCATCTGTAGGCAACGCTGCACAAAGTCGTAGCGCGATAGGTTAAGAAACCGAATTTTGCGGTCGATTTAAAGAGCTTGGCCTCTCCTTGAATCACCCTGTATTTTAGGGGTAAATTTTACCTCGTGAAATTTCAAGGCGTCTTTTTGCTGCACCTTGCTGCACCTCTCGGTGATGCTGTATAGTATACAGCCGTCGCTAACTCAGTCGCGTCCGTCAACGTCCGCCATTGATTCTGGCAAGTTTGTTTAATTTTTCGCACGAGTACTCCTTGCAATTTAGCAGGTTTAAAATCACCGCTAAATTACTGAAAGTTGCCACGAGTAGGAGCCTGTTTTTCCGGTCGATATTAGTTCCCCTTCTCCAGGGATTTCTATTGTCATTCTTGTCCAGCTCTCTTGCACCTTTGCATTAATTGCATTGTCATGATTTTCTGGTCGATCTTAAGCCAGCCTGAAGATGCATGACCTCTATTTGGCGCCGATAACTCGTCTCAGTGCTGATTATCATCCAGGTACCAGAGGCGCAGAGCTGGAGCCAGGCGTTCTGGACCTGGGCAAAGGGTCTCTATACAGCTTCGAACCGACCGATTTGAAGGCCGTCAGTCATATGGAAGGTCTGAACATCTCCAACGGCATGACGTGGTCGCCGGACAACACGACCATGTTCTTCATCGATTCGTACAGTCGGAAAATTTACTCCTTCCGGTCTTCTGCCGAGGACGGACGACTATGTGAGTGCACAAAAACCCTGAGTTGTTCGGGAACCGCGAGTACAAAATTAGTGAGCGTATTCAGCTGCAATTGACACAAGCTGCGTAAGTCTGGAAACTGTTTTATTTTGCTGAGAGCATTTAAAATGATAGCTCTGCAACGTAATAAATGGAAAGCTCGCCGTTTGTTTTTATTGAACACTCGCTTTTTTTGAGACGTGTTGACAACTATAAAGTGATCCTTGCATTATACTTCTGGACGTTTCAAATTCTGAGCAGGCTATATGTTCTAAACATAGCGAAAAGCGCACTGCTACGCTGCAATGTTGACTGTGTTAACTGTAGTTTCGTTTTAAGCAAAATATCCTGAAGGTCGTTGAGTTTCTCTTTGTGTATACCCTGTGCATACGGTGTTCATTTTCTGTCTGCCCAGCTGACAGACAGACTTTTCTGAACTGGAACAGCCATCCATCTTACAAGGACTGCGGATACCCGGACGGAATGACGCACGATGCCCTGGGAAGACTCTGGGTGGCTTGCTACGACGGAGGGAGGGTGCTCAACATTGATCCCGAAACAGGTGTGTTCCTGCACTTGCGGCATCCCCAAAACCGTCCCCTTTTGCGTCCCACGTTTTCAACAACAAGCGCGCGCGGAATCCCTGTAATTTAATCTGCGAAAGGAGTTTGGCGAATGAATTAGTTTTTCTCGCGTTCATGCGACACCCTGGCCTCAACAGCGCACTATCTGCGCAGCAACAGAACGCGGAGTCAGGAACGCATCCCTGAACATTCCTTGTCCGATTTCTCAGAGGTAAACGGGCATTAAGGCACCTTGGGTATTTCAACTCGGTTGGGCCTTCCGTTTCGTTGGATATTCACACTTATTAAGGGGTGTCCAAACAGGACACTACAAAACGCACGACTCCGACAAATCGTGAAAATTGAAGCGGACGCGCCCGCTTCAATTGTCACGATTTGTCAGAGTCGTGCGTTTTGTAGTGTCCTGTTTGGACACCCCTTTAGACGTTCAATCTCGTCTGCAGTATGACCTATGTAGTAGAGACCGGCCTCGTTGAATATTCCGACTGGAACGTTGCCGTTCGAATGAACACGCAGCTGAAAAGGGATTATTTAGTCAACGAGGCGAACCAGGCCGCTACGCAGTTCTCTTCGACTCTGGGTTTTCAAAGGCTCTTTGTCGTTGCTGTGGTCACATTCCTAGGGATAAAAAAATGTAGATAAACGTTACTAGAAAAAAGTAAAAAAAAACAACAAAACACTATGGGTAGTGCAGGAAACCGTCAATATATGTACGCTTAAAAATACTCAAAGTTAAAAAAATAGGTACCCGTTTATAATGTGCTACATAAAAGGCACACGTTTGTATACAGTGCTGACAAAAGAGCCCCCCGACACTTTCCAGGGACGCTGCTAAGACAGGTGATCATTCCTGCTGCAAGAACCACGTCATGCTGTTTCGGAGGCTCCAACTACGACGAGCTGTTCGTGACGTCAGCGTGGCGCGGCCTCACCGAGGACCAGCTCAAGCGCGAGCCGCTCTCAGGAACCGTGTTCAGGGTCACCGGCCTGGGAGTTTCAGGCTGCCCCGCTTACAAGTTCAATCGCTAGTGGCCGTCGCCAGGAGTGTTGTACGCAACGTCGATGCATTTTTTACTTCTTGGCCCTTGGTTCTGGCTTCTCAGACACGCAAGAAAGGTCGAAGCGTTATCAATAAATGAATCACCAATCAATCAGTCAATTAATTAATTTGCGTATAGTGTATGTTAGATAAATGTCTGAATAATTCACCAAGGTAGTCTAAGATTGTGTTTTGAAGTGAAACATTCATCGCACCAGCTTCTCAGGCAACATAATACCGCAAGCCTCAGACGTGGCATTTTTATAAGAAGCTTATCATCTTGAATGGGACGAAAAGGACCGACGGATTCACCTACTCGCTCCTATGATCTCACGTCGCTAATTTGTTTCTTTCTTTTTATGTAAGGCTACGATACACAATTTACTCGGCTAAACTACGAGACCCTCGACATATATTTGGAAGCGATTTCATCGCCCCGGTCATGTTGCTGCGGACCTTGGGCTGACACAGAAGCTCACGTAGAGGCACTTTGAGCTCACATAGAAGTGCTTTGGTCTTTTAAACTTGACGTGTCGTGTAACTTATATTTTTCAACAAACATGTCGTATCTTTACTTCTTGGCTTACTTCCTCGAAACGCCATGAAATGTTGGCTTTTATTGTACACACGCATTTTGCATTTTAAATCTTTTTGTGCTTGATCATTATAGCAATTCTCCTCTCCGTTGTTACTATGCATATATATGCATAGTAACATTCTCCAGTTGCATATATATATGCAACTGGAGAAAAAAAAAAAACCCAAGGTCGAGTGGGATAAAAAAAAAAAAAACAGCTAATATTAAGTATCTTGGCCGAACTCGACATGAACGTATTTTAGAGACACACAATATCTGGCAGCTCGTAAAATGTCTCGAACATTTCAAATCCTAGTATGTTCGGACAATCCGCGACCTAGCCCAGAGGATGAAAACAAGAACCGTAACGGGAGAAGTGGACTAGTAGAAGTCGTGTGACACCTCAGAATAATAGCAGTGACTCGTGATTAAGGACGTCGCCAGTAGAACGTGAGGCGAGAAAAACACAAAACATCTACTGTGACGAAGTAGAGCGGTCACGTGGGTCCAGGGGTTATAAAACGGAAGCGCTCTGCCAGTCGGTCGACACAGCTCCGAGCGCGTGATCTCAACAACGCTGCCGCAAACCCCGAGAACGTGCGTCCCCGTTGACAGCCACCGACGATCGTCACCACCTCTTCCGGAACTCGCTGCAGGATGCTCGCAAAGGTGAGGCCGTGGACCAAATGAACAACTACTGTCTCTACTGCAAAAAGAAAAAAAAAAATCTGTAAGAAAATGGAAGTGGTCAAACTGGAAATGGGAGTGACCAAGTTGGTTCGATGGCAACCAGTCGGTCTAAGTGGGGATTGAAGTGGCCAAGCTTGTCTAAGTGGTAATCAGAGTGGCCAAGTGGGAATCAGTATGGTTTGACTAGGGACCAGTGTGTCTTACTGGTTAGCTGGAAACCAAACTGGTCTTATTAGGGGCCAATCTGTTCAGGTTAGTTCAAAGTTACTCGTGCCTGTTGGCGATTTTCATCTCGTGTTTTGAACCTACTTTTATGGCTTCGTCTTTGATCGCCGGGAACTGTGAATATCTGATTGGCTCGAGAAGGTTGGCGAGAGAACCTGCCGACACAGCTTTCTGTTCTAGCCGCTAGGTGCCGTCGATTTAGCTGGAGTTGCCAATACAGGGAGCCGATGTTCTCACTCTTCTATGACAACCGCGTTTTACTATTTAGCTACTCTACTAATATAGTTAAGAAACCCGGACTTTTAACCAAGAAAAAAAAATCAGTATCCTGGAGATGGTTGAATTAGGTCATAGGGAGATGATCAATGTACACATCGCGATGCATATCATTTCGACTTGTTTTTACCTCTGTTCCCGCGCTCGTGCTCTAAGAGCTATCACTTGTGTTAATTAATCAGCAGGCCCGTTGAAAACGGACTTTCGGAGTTTATACTTGTGTGAGTGAGGCTTCTTCCGTCCTGCTCCCCTGCAGCTGGTGTTCGTGTGCTTGGCAGCCAGCGTCTCCGCTGGGAACCGATTCTACAACCGCGGCTTTGGTCGGCCAAGCTTCGGGTCGCGGCGGTTCACGACACCTGGCGGGCCCCGCCCGGACTTCTACGACACCGCCACTTACGTGCGTACACGTGGGCTATTATGCCCCCGTCCGAGCGCTTATCGCCCATGTGAAAAATGGCGTGTCACTGGGTTCTGGACGCATGCGGGGCTTTCGGTCTTCCGCAAAAGAGAGCTACTGCGCATGCTGAGAACGCAGGGGCGCGTCAACGATCTCCGTTCTCTTCACTAATTAATGCCTGAAATATCTCGAGTCTATGAAGCCAAAAGTAACTCGAAGTAATCAAAAGAGTAATTATAATGTGACTCGTGTTGATAATAAATCAGTCTATTATTTGCTCAAAGTAATGTCAAGAGTAACTATGATGTCAATTAGGCCGAATCAAACTCCATTAGGTCAATATTAAGTCGAAGTAATCAAAGGAGAAATAATGGTAACTGAGTTGTGAAAAAATCACTTGATTGTGTAAAAGATCAAAATAATAATGAGATAAAAATTAAAATAGATCTCTATAGTTACTTAAAGTAATTAAGATGTCAATGCTTATATAAACTCAGTTGTGTGACTAATATATTGAGGAAAGATGAAAAGTAATTGACTTAATTTAGAGTCAGTTGGGTGAATAGTAAGACGGAGTATTCGAAGGAATAATCCAAGTATTGACTTAACTTTTACGTTGTCGGATTTGTCAATAATATTTCGAAGTAATTTACTGAGTAATGCTAATTTTGCTTCTCTAAAGTTATGTGAGTCAATAATACCTATATAACCAAAAAGTAATCAGAAGGTCACATGAGCTTCTACCAAGTTATATTTTTGTCAATAATTCTTCGAAGTAATCGAGAAAGTAATAAAAAAAGTTTGTTGAGCTTTTATCATGTAAATTGTATTATTAATATGTCAAACTAATTATAATTGCAAGCCATATGTCCACTAAACTTCAAATAAAGTTAGATGTGCCAATAATAGCGCGAAATAATAAAAAATCGAAATAACGAGAAAGAGTAAACAAAACGTCATTTCAGCTAAATTAAGGTCGAGTGCGTCACTCATAACTCAAGGTTACGAAAAGAGTAATCAATATGTCAATTAAGCTACGTCAACCATGCGACTAGTAATTTCAAGTAATCGAAATAGTTATCAAAATATCAATTGTACCCAACAAAATGAAATTATATAAAGAATGACTCAAAGCTATCAAAGTGTAATCGAAACGCGACCATTAAAGACAAATAAGCTCATGTATATGTATATTGGGTAGCAGTGGAAATAAATTGGATGGCGTTTGAATTAAATTGGATGACACTCGGATTAATTTTATCGTCGTTTGTATTAAAATGAGCGGGAAAACCTGTAGTTTTGAAAGCCTGTTTTTTCTAAGCACGCGACTGCAATACTTGTATTTCTCGAAGTGTTTGATCGCGGAGGATTAGTCCAGTTGAGCGCGCATCTTACCGAGCATCGGTGCACTGCGGAGAAGCAACATCAGCAAAAGCGAGTTTTACCGGTGTTGCGTTTCCAGAGTGCACAGGTGCTCGCTAAGAAGCGCGCTGAACGCGGCTAAACCACCGCGATCACCACTTTGGAATATAAAAATGGTTACCCTCGAAGCGAAAATAAAATAGCGTATTATTCGAAACTATATTCGAAAATTCGAATATTCACACAAGCGAAGTCAGAATGCGTTCCACAGTCGAGTGGAGAAATGTGGTAGCCCACAGAAGGCGCTTATTGTAATGGTTTATATACTGCTCCACTGCTGCACCGGAAATGTGCCATCCAAAGCCATTTTCTTGAACACGGAGCCAGAGCAAAGTGCAAGCGCCGGCTGAATCGATCGTCTGTCTGTCATGAGCGCCGTGCCAGCACTCACAGCGCAGGTGTATACAGCCGCAGAACGCGGCACAATTTACCCTATGAAGCGATCGCTACTCTTCCCCATTTTTGTTTTTTTCCACGGGCTCTTATGAAAAGGCATTAGTAAGATGACTTGTACTCGTCTTCGAGCACCGGTCTAGGAGACAAGCTTTAGTGTTCGGTTTTAAGCTGTACCATTGCAACGCCAAAAGGCACCGATGTCCATGGTCTCTCCTTGTGCAGTGCAAACATCTCACCGGAAATGTGAGGTGCCAATAAGGGCACAAGCAGTGGTGTTCGGGACCGGGAAAATTTCCCTAACCTTTCCCCGAAGTGCTTATTACACATGTCTGAAATGCCGAGGAAGGGTTAGGAGGGGGGGATGCCCTGCCCCTCCCTCCTTCCGCCCCCCCACTCCCAGGCCCGACGTCGCTTTGTTGACTGCCTTCGCATTTGTTCGCGTCTCTATTGTGTTCTTAAGGGATCTAGATGATACTTTTCGGTTCATCTTCGCCGTCCCAATTTCCGTCGCACTGACAAACACGTAACGTGTCCTTTCTGCTTCCGCCAGCCTCCGCAGCCGTACAAGTTCGGCTACGACAGGGTGGACGAGTACGGCACCCGACTGTTCCACATGGAGACCGGCAACGCCAACAACGGCAAGAGCGGCTCGTACGGCTACACGGACGCCAACGGACTGTATCGCCGCGTCGACTACGTGGCCGACGCGTACGGTTTCAGGGCCAGCGTGCAGACCAACGAGCCCGGCACCAAGGCCGGGCCTACCGGCGACGCCGTGTTCCACGTGGCGCCGGCCGTGGTTGGGGCCAACGCGAGGGCCCTGGCCAGCTTCATGGCCACGGGGAGGGCGCACGACGTGGCATCGGCGCCCGGCTTCGAACACCTCCGACACCAGCGGCGGCACTGGCGCAGGTCCCGGGCCTAGGCGTGGTGTCCTCGTGCGTGCTGGCGGACCATAGGAGGAGGTGGCTTGCAAAGAGCGCGCCTTTCCAACTCAGCGGCAAAGACGTCGTTAATGTCAATGTGTACAGCGAAATGTCATTATTCACTCGGAATATGGTACACTGGGTTGACGGAACGTCAAACCAGTGTCACCATGTGTGTTACCATCCCAGTGTC